GAGACCAGCTGGCATTTCCACAAAGGGCTTTACTAAACACCAAGGAAGAACAAAAGGAAAATAATTACAGAAAACACGAAAAACCCAGCCCCAGCTGCCAAGTTCCCAAAATACAGGGTACCATTCCTTTGGTGACAGCAGATCGCCCAGAGGCCCGGGACAAGGCCTCAGGCACTTCGCCTGGCTCTCCTTGTTCCCAGCCCTGTGGTGGGTACCATCTTGCTTCCCACCCTGGGAACCCTTCGGTCACCCATGGGCTCATCTCTGGCCCCACCCGAGTCCTCCCACTAGGCTTTGCGCTCTGGCTAAAGGCAGGAGCCTTGTCCCCTAGAAGCTATCAAGTCTGTGGTGACGGATACAAGACATGATTGTACAGTAATGGGAGATGGCTCTCCCACACTTGCTCCGACTCCAGGGACATCTACCCACAGTGAAACGTCTTGAGTGCAGTGTAGGAGCAGAGCCCTTGGCAGACTGGGGACATCGTCCCTGTGGGAAGAGGAGGAGCCTTGGAGGGTTAGGTTGGTTCACACTGATTAAGCCCCTACTGTGTGCTCTACCACTGAGCAAGGTGTCAGAGAAGCACAGACATACAAGAGACAGTATTTGCTCTTATAAGTCTTATGGTCTTTGAAGCAAGCAGATAGGTAACAGGACAGTGATAGCACTGGTGTTGGTGCCACTGTGGAGGGGCAATCCCGGTGCTGGGGCAACCTGGATGAGGGGAGCTCTAGGGCGGTGCTTGGAAGAGGCCTCAGGAAAAGGTTAGAGGTGGGTGGCCAAGAGCAGGAGGACAAGGTGCTTTCCGGGGGCCATCATGACACCTCTCCAGAGGCAGGAGCTGAGCTGTCACTACAAGGAAAGAGGAGTCATAGTAAGGAAAGGTCCACACGGCCATGACATGGAGAAAGTTAGAACCAAGTGAGAGTCAGGCCAAAGAGGGGTTTGTCTGAGACAGTGCCTCGCTGTGTAACCCAGGGGGCTTCAGCTTGCCATCCCCCTGCCTCAGCCTACCTAGTACTGGAATAAAAAGCCAGCACTACCAAGTCTAGATCAATCGGTCAAAAAGTGGCGATGGGATAGAGCTGACATTTCAGGGAAAGACGAGGGTGGGAGGCCCCGTGCTTGGGGAGCTGGGGGCTGACCTGCAGCATGAGGAATCCATGCTGCCTCACCCCAAATGTTGACACACATTTGCCCAGCACCCTGGGAAGGTAAGCACCTCAGACTAGGGCCTTCCCTTCCCTACACACTGTCTCCAGCACCACCAGGACTAGGTAAGGGGTGGAGTAATGAAAACTTACTTTAGGGGACTGTGGGCAGAATTCAGTGAGTTAAGGGGTTGAAAGCACCACGTCTGCTTCTTGGCATGTGATAGGTGCTCAGTAAATATCAGTTCCCCCTTAAAACAACATCAAGGGGCCGTGTTGATGAGTAGCCAAGGGCTGAACTGGGGATGTGGCCTGTGCCATTCTCTTAGCAGGGGGATCTACTTAAAGGATCTCAAGGACAGTGGATCCAGGAGGGTGGATGGACTGGACTGTGAGGGACAGGACAGGTGTGTGTAGATGTACGCGCTTTCGTGTGTACAAATCCGTCTATCCATTTGCTCTTCTGCTCCTGGCAGAAGGTGGCTTCTTTATTTTCCCCTTGTCTTGTCTACGCTCTGAAAGACTCTGGCCTATAACTGTAGCATTTCTGTTTCTCTAATAAGAACCCAAAATTGAGTTCAAGACCATGCCCAAGAACTACCATCAGCAACACGCACACACACACACACACACACACACACACGCACGCACGCACGCACGCACGCACGCACGCACGCACGCACGCACACGCACGCACGCACGCACGCGCGCACACGCGCACGCACACGCACGCACACACGCACGCACGCACACGCACACGCACGCACGCACGCGCGCGCACACGCGCGCACACACACGCGCACACGCGCGCACGCACGCACACACGCACACGCACGCACACACGCGCACGCACACACATGCGCACACACACGCACACGCACGTGCGCACACACGCACGCACGCACGCACGCACGCACACGCACACGCACGCACACGCACGCGCACACGCACGCACACGCACGTGCGCACACACGCACGCACGCACGCACGCACACGCACACACGCACACGCGCACACGCACACGCGCACACGCACACAGTGCCTTTTGAGCTCTCCATGACCGTATTCAGTAAGCCCTGTCATCACCCCCACTTTGCAGGGGGAGGAACGGACCTAGAAACGGAAAGCCGTGGTTTGAGGTTAGCTATGTGGCTGTCCAGAAGTAGGGCCACCGTCCACGGGAGCAGAGACACCAGTTCTCCCCCCCCCCCCCCCCCCCGAAGGGACTGAGGATCCTCGTGCTGTGGAGGTTTGGAGTCTTCCTGGTTTCTGCCACCTTACCCACTTCAGCAAATTTGTCTCACAAACCAGAAAGCTGGATTTAGAAGGGGTCTGAGGTTTAGGGACAAAAGATTGAGGGGCACTTGTGGGGAGTCCAGACATCACCCAAAGGGTTAAGTTCACGCAGGGATGAAGAGGAGTACTTCAGCACCCGCAGCCCTCTGCGGGAATGGAAATGTGGAGGGGTCATCTGTATTGGATCGCCAGCATTTGGGATAGGGCCTGTAGCACAAGAGGACTAAAGTAATACATGTCAGATGAAATAATTCGTGAACAAATGCATGCACACACAATGTACACAACCCTGTTCAAGCACAGTTACAGGCAAATATATGCTCAATCCGTGAGTGCTCGAGATATTTGGTATAGACAAACATATCCAACACAGATAATTAAGAATACACACCTGGGGGCCTGGAGAGATGGCTCAGCGGTTAAGAGCACTGGCTGCTCTTCCAGAGGTCCAGAGTTCAATTCCCAGCAACCACACGGTGGCTCACAACCATCTGTCATGAGATCTGGTGCCCTCTTCTGGCCCGCAGGGATACGTGCAGGCAGAACACTGTCTATATAATAAATAAATAAATCTTAAAAAAAAAAAAAACAAACACCTGGGCCGGTGACACGCATCACCGGATAAGGGCGCTTGCCACCAAACCCGACAACCTGAGTTTGATCTCAGGAACCTACACAGTGGAAGGAGAGTCAACATCAGAAGGCTGTTCTCTGATCACTCCCACCCACATGTGCACCATAGCAATGCACAGACACACACGAAATAAAATAGATACTAAAGGGCTAGGGTTAGTGCACAATACACGCTTGTGCCCACATTCATAAATCCATCTCGGAATAGACACACTGAAACACCCATGGGAACACGAGATGCTGGGAGTGAGTGCCTATCACAACTGTCCACAGCATCCTGCACCATGCTCTGGAGCCAGGAAGACTGTCTGTCTGCTCCACAATCCCAGCGTGTTGCAGCTCGTCAGAATGTTCTTTGCAGCCCCCGCTTAGCTGGCCGGTGACCGGCCCCTGGCTCCAGAGCCGGCCAGACAGAGAGGCAGCATCTCTGGCAGCCCCTTGTGGGTGGGCAGCGAGCCACAGATGCAGAGGTCACTGGGGGTGAGATCCAGGACTGCCCAGGCCTCCCTGCCTCTGAATGGAATGTGATCCCAAAGCCACCTCCCAGGCCCCTCTCCTCCCCCACAGCCACCCACCAACTTTTGACTGAACCCTGCCAGCTTTCTTGCAGTCCACAAGCTAGTCACAGAGGTTTGTTAGGGTGGCAGTGATGGAGAGCGATGGAAGAGCCAAGGAGGTTACCACAAAAGCACAGATGTGCATGATCACACCTCGATGCCCAGGTATTCACACACACAGGACATACATTGGCAGGTACACACTCACTATCCCATCAAAACACATATGCAGACACACTTTCAAACATCAAACATCTTCAGGGCCACAGCGCACGCACACATACACACACACAATCATACTAGTACACAAAGATACGCAAAGTCCCAGACCTGTGACACACAGAGTAATATTTGGATGTTCAGTCGGTAACATATACCGACTTTCATAGTTACACTCAAACGCCCGTGAAGACACCACCTCTTTTCAGTACACACCAGCTCCCCTAGAACACACCCTCCTCTGCTTGGGCTCAGGAGGTGGTACTAGGCTAACTCAGTCCCTACCTCTAGTAGGTTGGCCTGGCCTGACAGGAGGAAGTGGTGTCCTGGACCTAGGTCTAGCCAGGTGCCCTGGGGTGTTTCCTGGGTGCTGCCCACAGCTGGGCCGCCCTGTGCCTGCCTATGAGTTCAGGTAGTCAGTGGAATAGAAGGACGGTTCTGGAGGCACGTAGCTTGCTTGCTTTCTCTGCCAGAGCCCTGTCCACGCAGGCAGATGCCCGCGGGCACACACACACACTTTCCTAGTGTGAATATGAACATTGTTCAGCATCCGCAGGTGGAGCCCTCTCATAGGATCAGGTTCTTAGTCTATAAAATGGGCTTAGTAATCCTTTCTTCACCACCACCACCCACCACCACCACCACCACCACCGCCACCACACCACCACCACCACCACCACCACCACCACCACCACCACCACCACCACCCCGGGGTTGTAGGCATGGCGTGTAGTGGCCGTGGAGGGCCACAGCGAGATGCTGCCTTCTTAAGGCTGTGATCCCTGCAGAAGTCACTAAAGTACCCAGCCATCTCCATGGCAGACGTTGGACGTCAGCACCTGAAGGTTCCCACCGAAGGTGGCACCAGAAGAGCCAGGTGCAACCCCGGCCGTCGCTGCGGGCTGATCCCGGAGCGAGCTAGCGCCAGGCTCGGAGGGGCCGGGTGATCTGCGCCGGCAGCGCCCCTACCGCGCCCTGCGGGGGTCACGCGCACTCAGGTCTCACCGCCAACCCGCTCTCAGCGCTCGGGGCCGCTCCTGGGGCCTCGGGACCCAGTGGGCGGGGCAGGCTGCAGCCACGCCCCATGCACAGCCTTGAAAACCAGCGGCCGACTAGCTTCAGTTCATAGGGGAGCTGCAGCCTGAGCAGGAAACTGCATCTTCAGACTTCTGCTCAGCCACGAGAGGAGCTAGGGTCACCGGACGCCCAGGACCCTTTCACATCGATCCATCTCGCGGGGTCAACTCCCGACCAGTTTCCTCAGCCACAGCCTTACCTGTGAGCTCGGACTTCCCCGACTTCCAGCGGATGCTCACACTGACGGCAGAGACCCAGGACTGCAGTGAGTGGGACACCCAACCCCTTACTCAGCTCTCCTCCGGTATCAGCGTCTCCCGCAAGGGGACGAGCATGGTGATTGTGCCTTGAAGAACCCTGGCTCTGGACGTCTGAAAAGGTGCTGGCCATGAAGCTGTTCACTTGCTTCTTGCAAGTCCTGGCTGGGTTGGCTGTGCATTCCCAGGTAAGGACCTGGCCTGGCTTCTCTTGACCTTCTCATCCCAGACATAGCCACGGGGCTACGGTCTGAAATTACAGACCCACTTCAGAGAGCAGCTCCTGCTGGGATGCCCACTTATTTCCCAGGGACTGGTCTGGACCTCAGGGAGGAGACCTCTGGCTGGGCAGTCCCCAAATCCTAGGGGCTGTCTTGATGGGGGAAGGGAAGCCACAGGGAAAGAGGAAGGTTTCCTGTCTGGCCCCTGGAGCCCGAGTGGCTTTGCTAAAAGCATCTGTCCACTAATCCCAGTCAGTTCCCTGGCCTTGTGGTCAGGGTTGAGGCCCCATGATCAACCAGGCGCCCCCAGGACCTCTGACCTGGCCAGAGAAGCTTGTGGTGGGGAGCTGAGGCCCTTCCCCCGCCAGTGCTCCAGTTGAGCAGGGGGATCTTGGGTGGGCTTCAGATAGGACAAGGGATCCTGCCATGCCCTTTCCTCCTGGTGGGTGGTTGAAGGTCCTGAGTGCAGGGCCTGGGGAAGTGAGCAGGGCCCTTTTCCCAGGAGCTGGGTGAGTCTGGCTGGGAGCCAGATTGGGCAGCAAAATCCTGACAAAGCCAATGCATTCCCTTCCTGCTACACTGCCCCTGCACTGCCCGCTGCCCCGGGAGTCCTCAGCCCCGGCCCAGCAGTGGATGGGTTGTGCAGTCCCGTGCTGAGCAGCCCGGCCATCCGCCTCTCTCTGCAGTGTTAACCAGAGGTATAACGTTACTGGCAGGCAGCACCACCTCATGGCGCCGCCTGCTCCAGCCCCTGAGTTCCCACCAGCTGATCACCTCCCCCTGGGCTCTGGCACCCAGCCAAGGCGGGCTGTAGAAGGCCCAGCAGGGCTGGCCTGGGGGCTGGGTAGAAGAGAGACCCCACAGGATTAGAAGCCCTTTGGAACCCGAGAAGCCTCCCCGAACCTCTAGCCTCCTACCCTTTTCCAAATGAGGAGACTGAGGCCAGAGAGTCAGGTGGGCTTTAGCGGCCCAAAACAAGAGGCAGCTTTGAGACAGGGCAGAGTGTGTGCAGGGGATGGGGAGGAGCTCAGGGTGGACTCAAAGAGAAGAGCCCCCAAGGAGATGCTCCTTCCTCACAGCTGCACCTTTGTGTCCGTTGCAGGGGACCCTGTCTGCTGGCAACAACTCAACAGAAGTGGAAGGTAAGCCAGCCAGGCCAGCGATGCAAGCCGAGCTCCTCTCTTCTTTCCTAATGAGCCCCAGCAGAGAAGGGATCGGTCTGCAGGATGGGAGCAGGCCAACAGTAAGCTGGGGAGGTTCTGCAAGCTAGACATGTTGGCTGAAGGCCAAGAGAGTCTACCTCTCGTGACCCAGCAACCTAGAGAGGTGCGGTCATGAGTTAGGGTCACCTCACCAAGCACACAGAAAGCAGGCCAGGAGAGCCAGGGTTCATCCAGCTGGCTCAGAGCCTCTGCCCTGCATGCTACCCAGGGTGCAGATGGAGTCTTAGTGGACGGGATTGGCGCTGAGTGCCAGAGGCCAGACTGGAGTTTGGGAGCTGGATGTAGTAGGCACTCAGTCAAGGGGCTTGGTCGGGACGCAGAGTCCTCCCCAGTATCCCAACCCTGGTGGAGCCGTGCAGCTCTGACCAGGCCTTTCCATTGATTACAGAGAGGCGGGCTGTGGCACACCCTCCCTGGTCCTTTCACTCTCTGCCCTGGGTTGTGTCAAGACATAATCTTCAAAGGGCAGTAGGACCTTTGCCAGAGAGACGGACATGCAGAAGGCAGGGAGCTCATGCCAGGTCCTTCCTCCTTCTCCCTTCCTGCCTCTCTGAGACACGGAGGATGGCCACATGCCATTGCTGAGGCTTCCAACAGCACCATGGGAGAAGGGATGTACTTGTAGGGATGTCCTTGCTTACACAGATAATAGCTGAATTGCCGTCTTGGGCTGGGAACACCCTCTGCTGGCCTGCCCGCTTGTCTATTCACCAGCCCCTTGGGAGCACCCTGAGCCCTGCCTGTCCCTGCTCTCACACCTGAAGCCCCGACCACTGAATGAGTGACAGAAGTAGCTGCCTCAACTCCGTGGACTTGCCCATTTTCTGAGCTCTCTGGAGTTGGCACAGTATCATGCACTCTAGGGTTTGAGCAGGGAGGCATCTCTCATCCCAAGATCATATCCCTTATTGATGATTTTAGTATGAAGATCAGGCACCAGCTTCCAAAGATGTCTTGGCCTCTGTTTCCTCATCTGTGAAATGGGAGAGTTAGATAAGTACTTGATATCAAAGACTCTTTTCCCAAGGCTGTTAAGATTCTGAGTCCTTGGAGGAGACGTGAGTGTATATACTTCCGAGGATCCTGATGAGAAGGCTTGGAGGTGTAGATTCAGAGTGTAGCCCAGCTCACCCATAATCCTAACAAGCAAAGGGCCTGCATTGTGGCCAAGGAAACACCAGCTGCTAAAATCTGACTCTACCATCCCCTCCCACTAATGCCAGAGTCAGAGGCAGCACGTTCAGCCATGGGCACCGATTTTCACCACTGTTCTTCCAGGTCCCAGGGATGGGCGTGTCCTGTTACTTGGCTTGACCATAGGCTGGGAAGTAGGAGGGTAGCAGAGTTTCACAGATGAAGAACCTGAGGCTTGGAGAGGCCCCAGGGGTCAGCCAAAGCTCTAGGTACTCTTCAGTGTAGCGGACAGTGCCAGCATGCCCAGCCTCAGGCCTCCCAACTGCACAGGAGCCAAACAGTCCTAAGTAGAGTGTCCCTGGTGGCAGGCTGGCTGGGTGCCTGGCCAGTGAGGAGGATCCAGCTAGGCTCCAGCTGGTGGCCAGTGGCTGCTGCAGGGATCTTTCCAGAAGCTTGCTATCCGGACTAAACAGTGTTCTTCTTGGAGTTCTTCCATTCTGGGTAGCATGTCCCTAGGGACAGATGGCTGCTCACTCACAGGGTTGGACAGGTAGCTGAGGAGCCCATTCTGGCCCCAAAAGAGGCTCTCAGAGGAGGGCCCAGGGCTGGCGGGAGCAGCCTCCCAGGCCTCTCATTAGCCACTTCCTACCCAGAACAGGTTTGGGGTTAGTGGAGGTGCTCTTCAGAGCGGTGGAGCACAACTCTTTCCTGAGAGGCACACCACGCATCTGGGAGCAACAGGACTCTGTGCTTTCTCGGCCCGCCTCTCACCAGGCCTTTGTGCTTCCTGCACACCCAGACAGGGGACCTCCAGGGATGAACCTTCCTGTTTCTTAGAGCTTCCAGGTAAACCAGGCCTCAGCTCAGCTCTCTCTTGGCCTTTCTAGGCCGCTAACAGGTCTCGGGATTTGGGGGTCCTGGAACCCAACATGTTTACATGACAGGATGCAGGATAGGCATTTGGGTGAGTGGCGGGAGGGGGCTAGGCCCCCTCGGCTGCTGTCCCGCCCTGGTGACTGAGGTTTTTGTGCAGCTGACTGCTTCTCTCCTTTATTTACGTTTCCACGGCAGAGCTTAAATGTTCATCGTGGCGTGGTGCTCAAGAGGGCTTCAGACTAAACACTCAGTTCAGGACGCTGGCGAAAGGGAGGTGGCCCCTGACCCATGTTGCAAAGGCAGGCTCTCCTTGGACTCAGGGGCTGCCTGGGAAGAGAGAGAGGCCTTGTTTCCCTAATTGGGTTCAAGAAGAGTGTCCAGTAGCCTGGAAAAGTAGAGTCAGAGGGTCCCCACATCCCCCTCCAGCCCCCGGTCTAGCCCAACCAAGTGCCTTCAAAACAGAGCAGTGTAGGATGGAACACCAGACGCCTAGATAAGTACGGTTTATTGCCTCGGTGGCTGCCCGGCCAGCTCCACGTGGACGCACCGCCTCCTGGGTATTTTCCACCAGCTTGCAGCCTTCCCGAGGGCCTCTGCTATGTCTGAAGTTTATTTTTCTTCTGAGATTACCCAGAGCCACATAACCTCACAGGATCTGTGGGATGGACTTCGGCCCCCTCTGTCTCCTAGGAAGGACCACAGAAGTGGGGGTCTGCTGGGAGAGGCCACTGCTCTCTGTTAAGGCCAACTTGTAGGCGACCCAGGTCCCAAGTCTCCCATGAGCTGAGGATGGTCATCAGATGTGGAGCAGGCTGATCCAGGCCTGGTCTCAAGGCTGACCAGGGCTGCGCTCCGAGGCACTGAATCCAGACAGTCTGTCAGGGCATACGTGACCTTAGCAACCATCTATTCCCAGGCTGCTTCTCTCTCCCAAGCGCAGGAAACCGATATACCTGGAATGGCTAAGTGACCTCCCCAAGGTCATACAGCCAGTATAAGGGACTGCAGCCAGATGGCCTGGCTTTGGCTGCTCCCTGAGCGCTTGCGTTGGAGCCCTGGTACTAGGCTACCCCTTGAAGGAACAGCATCTTTGGAGGGATTCCAGATCAGTCCCCCAGAGATACCGCCACCACCACCACCAGGACATCACAGGGGTCAGGGGAATGTCCCTGGTAATCCCCCCGGGAACTCTCACCTCATCAGTCAGGAGTCACTTAGCCTGGGTTTACTGGGGGTCAGCTCCCAGAGTCTCATTTTGGCTCCGGTGGAGATAAGAACCACTAGTGATGGTGGGGAGAGGATGTGAGCTGGGGACCCAGGCTATGCTCCGGAGAAGAGCATCGCTCCTGGTAGCATGAATGGAGAAGGCTTCAGGAAGGAGTGGGGGCTGGGGACAGGCGCATGGTTGCCCTTGGACCACTCAGGGCAAGATTCAAAGCTGCTGATATGTCCCAGCTCCCCTAAAGGGTGGTGGGACCACATAGACAGGAGGCTGGACCGCATAGCTAGGCATGCTCTTGGCTGCAGAGGAGTGATATCAAGTAGGACAGGACATGAGGAAGCTATAGTCGGGTTGGGGCATAGGGCGAGGGAAGGCTAGCCCTTCCTGGTAGGAGAACTGTTTTCAGCAAGTTCCTCAAGGCCCAGGAAGCACTAGGTCAGGCTAGAGAAAGACCCAGAAGCTTGAGGAGTGGCCAGGGCATAGTCCTCAAAGCTTCAAGGAAGCTTGGAACCAGAGAGAAAAACAGAATGATAACTTGGGACCTTGGGAGATTCCTCTCCATTGGAATTTGAGCCCCCCAAAACTAAGAGGCCAGCAGATACCCCAGAGTGATGGCAGCAATAGTCCAGAGCTGAAGGACCCCACATAGGCCCAGGAGCTTCATGGAAGAGGTGAACTCCATGTGAACTGAACCCAGGAGCTGAATCTGGGCCATCAAGAAGCAGGTCCCTGCTGACCGGACCTGACCTTCTGTTTCCCCATAGTGGTGCCTTTCAATGAAGTATGGGGACGCAGTTACTGCCGGCCAATGGAGAAACTGGTGGAAATTGTGGATGAGTACCCTGATGAGGTGGCACACATGTTCAGCCCATCCTGTGTCCCCCTGAATCGCTGTACTGGCTGTTGTGGGGATGAGAGTCTACACTGTGTGCCGCTGAAGACAGCCAATGTCACCATGCAGGTAGGGAGGCTCCCCCCCACCTGTCACCACCTGCCATAGCCCACAGAATCTCTAGAAATTACCCAGAGAGGGACAGAGAACCAACCTCCCAAGCCAGAGTCCATTACTCCCAGCACAGAGTCCATCCTCTTGAGCCCCCATCTAGGCTCTGAACCCCTCACTGGCTCCTTACCGGTCATCAACTTTTTACTCCCCACAGATCTTGAAGATCCCCGCCATCGGGGACCAGCATTCCTACGTGGAGATGACGTTCTCTCAGGATGTGCTCTGTGAATGCAGGTAGGTCCTGGGTGGGCCTCAGGGACAGACTGTGCACTTAGCAAATCCTAAGCCTCGGCACATCTTCACAAGGCCCCTAGGGGCAGAAGCGGGGGCTGCCACCCTGCCGCAAGCTGCATTTGCTTCCCTAAGCAAGTGGTCCTCGGGAGATGCTTTTCCATTTTCTACGCCCTACCAGCCCACTTGGCCTGAGGAGCTGGCCTCAGCAGCTGGGGGTACAGCTGCTAAGATATCACAGCAGGAAGGGAAGGCTGAGTCTCTCCTCGACGGGCAGGACTAGACTGTGCATGTCACATCTCCACCCTCTGAGGTGAGCAGCACCTGCCACAGGCCTCGGGAATTGGTGCATAGAGGCAAAGACATCACAAGCCCGTATTTGATTCTGGACCAGGCTGCCTGCTCACGGGAGGGAGCAGGCTGTGCTTAGAGGAGGGCAGACTGAAACCCTCGCAGAAGGGAAGGGACAAGAAAAAGGAGGTACAGTGGTGTCTTTAGAGTTGCAGCACACTGCTAACTGTCCCCAGGGAGCTCTGACCAACGCTCAGCCTTGCTATATGTCCCCCCAGGTTCTTGGAACATTTGTTACTGGGAACAGCAGCCTGCCATGCTGTCTAGGTTCAGGAGGAATGAGATAGGTTTGAGGCTGCTCTTTGTCGTGGACAAGGGCACCAGATTAGGGGTCTGGGGCCCAGTCTGGAGCTGAAGGAAGGGGCAGATAACTATCTTCCATGCATGTTTATTCAATGCCCACTGCGTGCCACGCACTGGCCTAGGTGCTTGGGATAGGGCGATGAGCAAGATAGACGAGGTGCATGCCCCGTGGCCACCTCATCCTCATGGCATGGACGAGGACAGCCAGGCTCCGTGCAGTTCTGGGCCTTGCTCAGCTAGTGAGCGTGGAAGAGGGATCTAGGTGCGACTGCACCCTCTCACTCCTGCGACTGCATTTTTCCTGCTGCCTTTCTTGGCGGTTACCACCTTCTCCATAGCCCCAGTGCTAGCCACGTGGCCTGGCCTTGCCCAGTGCCCGGGACTCTAGCTGCCCACTTTGAATCTGAGCCCTGGCTCCGGGCCCTCTCCACTATGCCAGTATTGGGGGCCTTGACTCAACCTGTTCACCTCCAGCGAGGTAACAATAGCTCCGTCGTAACCCCCGCCCCCCAACTCCGCACGCATGGTCTCTATCACGTTTGCCCGCCCAGCCACTCTTAGGGCAAGGTGTGACTGGGAAAAGTGGGACGCACTCAGGGCCCCTGCTGCCCCTCCGGTCCGCAACACTGTTCCTGGGAAATACTGAAGCTATCCTCTTCCATCAGGCCAGGCAACAGGGACACCTTTCTTCTCACTTCTGGGCCAACAGCCACGGCCCCCGAAGGCAGAGCTGGGACATGCCTGGTGACTGTGAAGCAGGATCCCTGCTGTTGCCACGGTGGGGCGGGGGTTGAGCCCAGCCGGGCAGCCTTAGCTGGTGGCCACCACTGCCCTGTCGTCCACAGTCTTGTCCATCATTTACTTTCCTTGAGGGAACTCCCACACAATGCACCCTGGAAGGAAGCGGGGAAAGTGAACAGAGAAAGTAGAATAGCAGAGAACAGATCCCAGATTTGATGCCAAGAGGCGAGGGCGAGCAGAAACGTGTGATGAAGAGCCCCCAGGGGGAACTCCGACCTCTCTGGAGGTTGCCAGGACCTAGGTAGGGCAGGAGCCCAAGTCCTGGGGGCCTCTACCATAGCTTCTTCACCAGCTCCGTGCTGCCCCCTAGTGGCGCCGGTGCAACGGCGTCACCAGGACTTAGGAACTCTATGGGAAGTGGGGAGGTAGCAGGAAGCGCCCACTCACTCTTCTCTCCTGCACCTTTCTGTTTCTCTAGGCCTATCCAGGAGAAGACGAAGTCAGAAAGGTAAGCGGACTGTCTGGGGCTCGGGGCGATTGTGGGGCCCGCCAGCCCCTGTCCTAGCTGAGGAGCTGAGGAGCCCCAGCTACGTTGTGCTGATGTTTCGCTTGTTGCAGGAGGAAAATCAAGGGGAAGAGGAAGAAAGAGAAGCAGAAACCCACAGACTGAGGGACCCCACCTGTGAGTGTGCTGGGGGCCACGGGGCTGGCAAAAAGGCTGGGCCTAAGGGGCGGGGGCTGCCCTGGCAGCAAGGTTCAACGGTCAGGGAGGGGCGAGGTAAAGCTGGGATGAGATCTTGGGGTGAGAACAGGGAATGCATGTCTTTTAAGGTCCAACGTGCATCGGGGGACCTTAGTTCTTGTCCCTTATCTATGCGTGGCCTTAAACAAATCACTTTCCTTGTAAACTGATGGGGCTGGCATCACAGCAAGCGTTGGGCTATTCTGCAGGCATCTGCCAAGCACTGCTGTGTGCCAGACACGGGGGTGACAGCCACATTTCCTGCTCTTCCCTTGTTTGCCTTGTACTACACAGCTGCCCCCTTCCGGGCAGCCCTAGGGAAGGTGTAGAATCCCCACCCCCGCCCCCGCCTCGGCTTCCCTGGCCAATGTCTCTGTATTTGGGTCCTGTCCTTCCTCTCTCCTCGCCGTTCCTTACCCATCATGCTTCACGCCCCGGGGGCAGCAGGCTGGAGAGTCCCAGGCTACAGTGTAGCTGGAAGAGGAGGATCAGCGAAGGGACACCCCCCACCTGGCAGCCAAGTTAGCGGGAGTTACACACACACACACACACACACACACACACACACACACACACACACACACAGATACCGAGTGCCATCGTGCCATTTCTCAGATATGGGTGTTTGGGGGTGTCTCGTTCGAGTATTTCCCAAAAGAATTTCAAAAGCTCATGCGCCTCTTGCTTAATTTTAGCTTGGCCATGAACATTTGCAGGGAGGAGGATTGTTTTAGATAGGGTGCTATGTAGCCCAAGTTGGCTTTAAACTTCCAGCAATCCTCCTGCCTCAGCCTCCCAAATGCTGGGAGTACAGACATGTGCACTGTAAATGTTTTCCCTCCTTGTAAACATCATATTAAGGGACAGTTGGGTTTGGAGTACCTGTCTTTCTTTAAGGACAGGAAAGGGCTACAGTAACTGGGACAGGACGGCTCAGGTACTTCCTCACACAGAGTTAGCACGGGATATCCCAGAAGGCTGGAAACTGATTTCTTAAAAAAAAAACCTATTTGGAGAGTGAGGACGTAGCACAGTGGTAGGGAGCTTGTCTATCATGTGTAAGGCCCTGAGTTCGATCTCCAGGGCCACAAAACATGTAGTAAAATAATACAAACAATGAAACCACTGTCACCCGCTCTCGGTCTTTGGGAACGTTTGTCTGAAGATCGGCGTCTTGGGGTAACCAGAGACACGGTTACGTGATGCCAGATTGGCTTCAAATGTCTCTGTCCCTGAACAGTTGGGTGATCTTAGGCAAGCTTCTTAAACTCACTGAACCTCAGCTCCTCATTTGTGAGCGAGGAACATCCTTGTGGGGTGTTGTGAAGCGTGAATGAGTACTTGGCACAAAGCCTGAGCAGGTGCTTGGCAAGGGAGGTAGCGGCTTGCTGGCCCGGGTGTGAGCAGGGTTCCCAGGGTGCTGCTCCTCATCCTCTGTGTCCACCCTCCTCTGTAGGAGGGGACCTTGTCCTCCACAGTGTCCTGATCTCCCTGACTTGTCTGTGTCTGGTCTCTGGCAGGTACGGTGATGCTGTTCCCTGGAGGTAACCAGCCCCTCAGAGGAGAAACCCCACACCCAGCTCATATATTTATTACCGCCACCCTCTCAGATCCTTCCCTGCTGGTACCTACCCTCTATTTATTAGCCAGCTCGTCCCTGCTGAATGACTTGCTCCCTCCAAGATAAGGGGCATGGAAGGACAGGACCCTCAGGAATTCAGTGCCTTAAACAGAACGTGAGAGAAAGGAAGAAGCCAGCCACGGTTCCGTGGGAGCTTCGGCTTGGGAAGAAGCAAGACATGGACAATAGCCTTTCCAGGGGCAAGCCAGGCCCCTGAGGCTCTGGGTCTCCAGGGAACTGGAGAAGGAAAGAGAAGGCCCAGTACCTACCCTGGTTCCCGGCTCCACCCAGGCAGCAGCTCTGGCCCTGGCTGCATTGAAGACATGTAGAGGGGACCCAGCCATGTCCTCTTGCTGCTGGAATCAACTGTTTACCCTGGAGACCAGGACAAGACATTTGGCTCTGGAGAACAGAGCTTGCCTGTGGGCTTTGCCTTTCAGCCTAGAAGTTCACTCTTCATCCTTTGCAAAGCACCACCACCCTGCCCCCTATCTGGGACACAGGCGGAGTGGCCTGGGGCCGAACAGAGGGCAGGCTGGATAATAGCCCAATAGATTGGTGGATTTTTCACAGCTGCAAGCCAGGGGCGTGTGTCCTAGTGGTACGGCTGCGGAAAGCAAGCAGATTCCTGGAGGGCCCTTGCAGCCCACCAATCGTCTCTGCCGGGACTGTCTAACTGCCAAGCCAGATTCTCTTGAATAAAGCATTCTAGTCTGGAACCAACCTGTTTAGGATGTGTGTCTCCCCGAGCAGTGGGGGAAGCAGTGGGGGGAGGCCGGGCAGATAAGGGAGGGTGTGGGAGAGGCGAAGAGCGTGATGGTAGATCCAAGCCTCACTTCCTCATCTCAAAGAGCCTTCCCGGGCTGTGAGGGGGCATGTCACAATAGGTGAGGTGACATCCTATATGTTTCCCCTTGGACAGCTGGGGAAACTGAGGCCTGAGAAGGCAGAATGAATGACGCAGAGGCAAAAGAGGACTGGCCTGAGAGTCAGAGGCCAGCCTTATCCCAGACTTGCGAGGAGGCACTGAGTTTCCCTGCGTTCACTCTTGGCTAGACCTCTGCAGCTTTGGCACGTGTTAAAGGAGTCCTTCGACTGTCTCAGTGGCCCTGGACGGTCTTCAGAGACTGTCCCTATATAGATTATGTCAGGGCTGCCCCTGGGATCCATCCAGTCCCAAAGATATAGCCTCACCTCTAAAAGTAGGGGAGAGGTCTGGCTCCAGTCTCCTCTAAGCCCCATTTTCCCACCCTACACCCAGCCTGGAGCACACATTCTGGATAGCCTATACGTGGGTCTCCCAGGGCCCTCAGGCCTCAGGAGGGTCACCCTGTCCTAGGCTTGCTGAAGCACAATGTCCCCTCACTCACTATTTGGGCCCTGGATGCCTGGATCAGCTGCCAACTTCTTCCTTTCACCTCTCAACTTCCCTCACTTTCCTCCCCCCCCAAAAAAAAGATTGTATTTCTTACCGGGCGGTGGTGGTGCACACCTTTAATCCCAGGACTCGGGAGGCAGAGCCAGGTGAATCTCTGAGTCCGAGGCCAGCCTGGGCTACAGAGCGAGATCCAGGACAGGCACCAAAACTACACAGAGAAACCCTGTCTTGGAAAAACCAAAGATTGTGTTTCTTCTTTGAGTCCAAACCACTTTCTAAGAGACACCCTGACACGTGAGGTGTTGTGAGTACCTTTTTAGGCTGTGTGTGCTAGTTGAAGAGTCCTACTTTATCTCTTGAGGTAAAACACACAGGGGCTCAGGGGGCAGAAAGGGGCCTGCCTACAGGCCAGTGGTTCTCTACCTTCCTAATACCGAGACCCTTGAATACAGCTCCTCGTGTGGTGGTGACCCACAGCCATAAAATTATTTTCGTTGCTACTTCATGACTGTAATTTTGCTACTGAGAGATGTCTCAGTTCCTAAGACCGTGGGAAATATGTATTTTTTGATGGTCGCGACCCACAGGTTGAGAACCGCTGCCATAGACTTTGTTTGAAGGTCATGATGGTGAGCAGGGCAGAGGGGCCTCTGTGTAGGCAGCTGCCTTCCAGCCCGGAGCCCTGGAGGACGGTCCGGCAGTCCGGGCAGCATGTGTTCCTGGCTAGGGATCAGAGAGGGTGTGGGCTGGCCCCAGGGGACTCAGCTAAAGAAATGACTTTCTTGCTTCGCTCTTCATCTGCAGCTGTTGGAAGACATTGTCACTGGCTATGTGTTCTCTGAAGAAAGTGCCCCTCCCTCGCTCAGGCCTCTGGCTGGACCCTGAGGACCCCAACCCCACCCTGTAGCATCTCCAAGGCTTTCAGTTCCCACTCAGGCCAGCAACCTCTGCAGTAACCTAGACAGAGACCAGGACAGTTCCGGGGTCAGAAGAAGAAAGCCTTGTCCTTGGCCAGGGTGTTCACTGCAGGAACAGTTAGGAGCGGAACATCATGGAGGGTGCATTTGACCAAAACGCCAGTCCTTTCAGGTCGTCTGAGTCCTCAGGGACCCTTGTGATGGGCTTGTCACTCATTGGTGGAACGTCACTCAGTCAGGTTCTGAGGAGCTGTGGGGAGTGGAGCACACATGCCCTTTGCCCTGGCCTCTCCTTCCACAGAGAGCTGTGTGTTGGAGGTGGTAGGGTGTCATTTCGATTGCTCAAATTGATGACTGGACTCAAGCTGAGAAAAAGGGGCTCTTGAGCACCCCAAATTCTAAAACAAGGAACAATTTGGGGCTGGACCGGAAACACTTGCCTAATAAATTCATTGAAAGATAACTTGAGGGGAGGGGTGAGTTGATTCAGGGGTTAAGAGCACAGGCCGCTCTCCCAGAGGACCTGGGTTTGATTCCCAGCAACCACACATGACAAGTCACAACCATCTGTTCTGAAGTTCCAGGGAATCTGACACCCTCTTTCTGGTCTTTTCAGGGACCAGGCATCTATGTGGTACACAAACATATACACAGGCAAAACACTAAACACATTAGATAGATAGATAGATAGATAGATAGATAGATAGATAGATAGATACATGCATGGATGGATGGATGGATGGATAGTAGATAGATAGATAGACAGATGATAGATAGATAGATAGATAGATAGATGATAGATATAGATAGATGATAGATGCGTAGATGATGTATAGATAGATAGACAGATGAAAGATAGATAGATAGATAGATAGAACTGAGGAACAGAGACAGGGATATACTTTAAGAGGGGCTGGCAAGATAGCTCATCAGGTAAAGGTGCTTATCTTGAAAACTTTGTGACCTGAGTTCAGTCCTTGGACCCCACAAAAGGTAAAAGAGAGAATTAACTAACTCCACAAAGTGGGTCTTGTGACCTCTACACATGTGTGCTGTGTAGTCACAACACATACACATATCATGCACACATACACACACTAATAATGAGAACAATAATAAAAAATTTAAATATCTATAGTTGAAGGTGGGCTGGTGGTACATACCTGTAATTTCAGTACTCTGGAAACTGAGGCAGGAAGATTAAGCGTTCACGGTCAACCTGAGCTACATAATAAGATTCTGTCAAAATTAAACAGAAGAGGGGGAAAAGAAAGAGGGAAGGAAAGAGAAAGGGAGGGAGGGAGGGAGGAAGGAAGTGTTTTTACCTTTCCAGAATGCAGCTGTAGAACATCAGAGATAACCTTGACGCTGCTCTGCTGGAGGTGACCCTTCAGCTCCCTCCCTTGGGCCACAGCCAATGGTTCTAGTGCCAGCTTTCAGGAGCACTGGTGTGTCACCTTCATCACTTGTCACTCGGAATGCTGAGCTGTTACGGCATTAGCCATCTTGAGGTCACCACGTAGGAAGGAAGCTCAGACGACCATGGAGGTGGGAAGCAGAGGGAAAGGCTCAACCAAACCCAAGCTCCTCCGGCCCTAGCCATGCCTGGGGGATGGAGGGCTGGATGGAGAGCTCAGTGGTGAAGAGCACATGCCGCTCTTGCAGAGGGCCTGAGTTCAATTCCTAAAACCCACCTTGGGTGGTGCAAAAGCTGCCTGTAATTCCAGGTCACAAGTATACAAGACCTCTGGCCTCCATGGCACCGGCACTCAAGTGCACAGGCCCGCACATATACACATAATTAAAAATAAAGATTGTGGGGCTGGATAGAGGGCTGAACAGGAAGGAACATTGTTGCTCTTACAGAGGACCCATGTCTGTTCCATTGTCTCATCTCTGAGGGCACCAGGCACACACATGGCACACAGACATACATACAGGCAAAACATCCACACATGTAAAATAAAATAAATAAATCTTCAAAACAATTTTTAATGATTTATTTTTATTTTATGTGTATTGGTGTTCTGCCTGCATGTGTGTGTGTGTGTGAGGGTGTCAGATCCCCTGGAACTGGAGTTACAGTTTTTAACTGCCATGTGGGTGCTGGGAATTGAACCTCAGTCCTCTGCAAGAGCAGTCAGTGCTCTTAACTGCTGAGCCATCTCTCCAGCCCCTAAATAAATCTTTTTAAAATAAAATAAAAGTTACAAAGGAGTTTATAGGACTCAGCTGAGGGCCCACACCTCACAGAGCAAAGACAAACTGTTCCCACAATGCCCTGTGTCCTTTCCTACTAACTGGTGGGATCAGGAGACACCATAACAAGAGATTGTTTTAGAACAGTTTGCTCTGCAACGACACGTAACCAGAACAGAAACTCAGAAAATGCAAAAAGGCAGTGTTCCAGGGAAATACTGTAGACCAGGAGGCCACAGGAAGCCTCATCACGGAGGAGACATTTACAGCATTTATGACAATGTGGTCATTCAGAGACAAGGGTGCTCCAAACTGAGGACGTTGATGGGAGGCAGGGGTAGGAAGGGTCCCAGTGCGGCTGGAGCATGATGGGCATGGAAGGAAGTCAGGAGCCAGAGCCAATGGCTTTACTCTAAAAGCAGGTAGAGAAAGAAAGTTTGGTGTAGTGCGACAGGAAACCACCAAAGGGGGCTGAGCTACAGAAGAACTTGACACGCACTTTATTTTATTTTATTTTATTTTGTTTTATTTTATTTTTGTAGGCAAGGTTTCTCTATGTAGCCCTGGATGTTCTGGAACTCACTCCATAGACCAGGCTAGCCTCAAACTCACTGAGATCCACCCGCCTCTGCCTTCCAAGAGCTGGGATTAAAAATGTGCGCCACCACTACCCAGTCACCACTGGGTACCTTTTTGAAAGATCACTCTCCCTGTCACTTGGAAAATGTTCTCTAGGGACACAAGATTGAGAAACCACACACAAATGACTCATAAGACTGTAGCAAATCTGGACACAATTATGGTAGATGGTTCTAGTAAGAGGCACAGGGCACAGAGAGAGGGAGAGATGGAGCGCATTCCTGTACGTGCTGGCTGTCGGGCTGGTTCCTGAGCATCGGCTCAGTCTCAGGACCAGGTGTTTTGGAGTGGACAGTAGCAGTAAAGCAGACAGTGACAGAAGAAAAGACACTCGCATGCAAACGCCCCCTCCCACTTCTCCATCTGCTAAAGGAAATTGCATGCCACAGAATTTAGGAAGCTAAGGAGCAGTCATAGCCGAGAGGCTGCGTTGATCTACTTAAGAACTAAAGAGAAAAGGCTAAAGGCCTGGGAGTAGAAAAGGAGCCTTTGATGATGGAGAGCAACTTGGGGCACAAAAGGAGGGCGTTGGGAATATTCCGCCATGCTCCCCTCTCGCTAAGGCTCTAGTGTTATTTGA